ATATCCTAATCCATTTCGAAAGGTGGTAAAAGTAAGGAAACTTTTAAAAAAAAAAAAATTTCTTGATCTTTAATCAAATAGATTCTAAGTTTGAGCTTACCACACAATAATCACATAATAAAAAAGTCAGGAGGAAACAATGCAGATAATATAAGTAGTCGTGACTATGGTATACTTCACGCAATTGATCGATGATTACTTACTAAGTGATGTTGTTTAATACAACTTCGTGTTCTAATCCTCTGTGTTAGAGAAAAAAGTGCTATTTTTTTATAAAATAATTTAATATAGTACAATTATATTACTCATGCACATTCTGGTTTCCTTTTCATAGTGCAAAGAACTTGCAACAGAAATCGAAAGTGGACAAAGAAAACTTATTACAACTGTAATACAAGAGCATAACAATAATATCACACATATGAATGTCTCCCATATTTAATATAAAAATACAATACCATTATCCTCACATGTCTGCCTCATTACTCTGGCAATAAATGCGATTCGAATTATTATTTTGGCGCCAATTTATGACTATTGGTGCTCAGTGCAGCGTTACTTACTGTTAATGACCGTCATAAAGGCATTTGCAACTACTCAATGTTGCCACATTATTGCGAATAGCAGAAACCAATAAATGTGTTCACAGCTATTAAAAGCGCAAAATGAAGCAAAGTACCGAGAATTTCTTGAACGCAAAAATAATTACTACAAAAATTCAATATAATAAAAACAGAAGAAGAAGAAGAGTAGAACTGTTAATTTTTGATTGAACGGACCGAACTCTTCAAACTCAATTCAATTTTCTATAAGCGGAAAAAAAAATTGGAAGTCCAACGTCTGTTGCGGATGAAATTATTTATTTATTTCTTATATTTTCTTTGTTAATTTCTTTCGTTTACTTTAACTTTTATTTATTACTTTTTCATTTTTTCGTTTTAATTGTGTTTATTTTTTTATTTAGTGTTGCCCGCTTCAGTAATTATTCGCCTAAATTTGCCATTGAGCATTAAAGCCAAATACGAGTATCGAATAACGTGTTAATAATATTTATAAGACGTTATTGTGGCGTCCAGTGTTAATGACGTTGTTGTTGTTATTATTGTTATTGTTGTTGTTTTGGTTGCTGCCGGTGTTGCTGTTATAATTATTATTTTATGTTAGTAATACGAATTATTATTATGGGTTTGATTTTTTGTGTTAATAGCACATTATCCGTACATTCATTAATTATGGCGGCGGTTAAGCTTATGGTGAAGTAGTTTTCTGTTACTATTTATTGGGTTACTTTAGCAACAACACTTTTTTTCTATTTAATTTTTTTTTTTTCAAATTTCGTTACTATGAAATTTCTCTTTTATTTTAGTTTTCTATTGTCCACTAGATTATAAAAATATTGTATTCACTCATGGTATAAAAATATATATGTGTATGTATAAATATATATATATTATCATTAATCTAGTTTTTAATTTAAATGAAACTCGTCCAATGAATTTAAATTGTTAAAAGCAAAAATGTTGCCCTTTTATTTTAAATTAGAAAATAGAAATCAATCAAGCGAATCAATCAAACAATCGGAAAGTCAAATAAATTAATTGGCTATGGATGGAGAGAGATAGTCTAGGAAAGTAATTTTCCTTAATTACAATTTTTTTTTAACAATTTAACTTAATTGTTGATCTCATGATTTCTCTATCACCATGATTTTTAGAGTACGCAAACATATAGTAACCAAAATGTATTATGTTAACCAGGTTGTTGGAATCGCAATGTAGAAAATAGTAGAGAGTATTTTTTTCCGGTAGGTGGAATCACCAACCACTGTACAAAAGTTTTAACTACACTAAACTGTCTAACATCGCACAATTGAAGATCCATCATGGCGTCATAAAGTCAGAAGCGCTTTGGACCTATTTAATTATAAGACAAGATGTTGGAGGTATGAATGGAAATGGGTTTAATAACAGAAGAATGATGACCGTTGTATCCGAAAAATAACACTAACCACACTACTAATAAATTTCATTTATTAAGAAATCTTTAGAAAGGTTTTCGAACAGTATGAATACAACAAAAATTCATTTTATATTATTTTAATTAATTGAATTTTTGGCTGACTCTACAGCTGTTTCGAGTATTGCCAAATATCCTTTATCAGTGGTTTTGGAAATAATTCTTGTATTTAATTACTCGTAAATAATTTTTTGACACTGCAAGTACCAGGAATCGAACTCGTGTTCTTCCAAATTTAAAGCTCAAAGTCAGCATCTTATCCAACTAACCAACTGACTGAAATCATAGCTCTTGTGGTAAAGAAGATATGAAAACCAACATGTGGTATGGTTGAACTAACAGGATGCCTTAGCTGAGAATATTTTGACGTGAGATTTAGTTAAAACCTGATTTTGCTGAGTGTAAGAACCCCACTAATATTATAATTGCTTAATTATTACCTTAAATTCTTATTTTTTCAACTATAACTGTAATCGTTTGAGAAGACTATCACCGACATGTCTGATACTCAAACATTATCCTTTTGGCGTTGCTATGGCGATTGTGTCAGACATTAAATAGCGATGAAGAATAATCGAGTAATCATAGGCGGATCATGTCATACGTATATCAAATAAATCCACTTATTACACAATCCTTAAGTCACCATTTTAACATGTTGTGTGCGTATTGCTAGTTTGACTGAAGTAAACCATTTCGTACATCTGATTTGATAGATGAAATGGGATGTCGTAGGTTACTTTTGAAACAAAGCTGTCAGTAATGTTACTAACACAGTATATAAACTAATCTGAAATATGATTATGATTACATTCGGATCTATGAAATGAAATCAACCTATTCGTACATCTGATACAATGGGATGTCGTGTGTTACTTCTAGCACAAAGCTTCTAGTAATGTTACTCAGACTATATACACTGATTTAAAATATGATTTCCATTGCATTCGGATCTATGATAGATGGAATTGTATGCCGTATGCCACTTCTGGCTAATTTATCTATCGGCTTTAAAGTTACCAGAAATATTACTAAGACTTTATATAAACTACTTTGAAATGTGATTTTCATTGCAATCCATAATTTTTATTTTCCCCGATATGAAAATCCATCCAACCTACAAGCTACTATAACTTGGCCATATAAGCACTTCCTATTTTTGTCCGTTTTTGGTTGTTATTAGCATAATTAGAGATTTATTCGAAATTATATTATTTGATTGATAATTTCAAGTTTTTGATAAATTTTTATAATTATGTGATATGGTAAAAACATAAAATGAAGTCAGCCAAAATATCATCCCAATTTTTTTTTTGCAGGTCAATCGATATCTTTATTATTATGTTGAAGCTGTTTTGAGCCAGTGCACTTAAGCACTTTTACTCTTTCTTAACTCAAAGTATTTTCAAAACCCCTCTTTACAACTTGACTAGATTATTGTTTATCACTTCATCAGACTAAGCAATAATTGACCTCAGATCTGCTTACCTCCCCGAGAAGCCTGTAACGATTTTAAGTTTTTTTAACGCAGTGTTGGTAAGTCTGTCAGTTTTCGCAAATAAATTCAAGGCTCTATCCTTTATGTATTATTTGATGGGATCAATCTTGATGTCCCTGAGGATGTCATTCGTTCTAATGTACCATGGAACTTTGAAAAGTCTTCTCAGAGCCTGATTTTGTTTTTGGCTTCTCTTTTTACGAAAGTTATCTATCTATTAAATGATGAATTACTATGAAGACGCGAATCTGTGAAAAAATTGATGCACTATCTTCCATTTATTGTTTGAAAATAATATCTACAAAATAATATAAATTATTTGTAAGCACATGCATGAAATGAACCCGTTCGAAAAAACCGATCTAGTGTCTTATGGATCTATCACTAAAGATTAAACTGTTGTATAGTAACTACTCGTATATTATTTACATCATTTTGCACGTTTCAGTTAATTGGTGTGTTAATTTCAATAATTTATTTTATTTACGAAATGATGTGATGTTGTTGTGACAGTGTTGCGATCGTGCGAAAATTGTAATTTTAATCGTAATTTACTGTATGGCAGTATTAATTGAAAAAACATCTGTACTTGACAATTATTTGCAATTAGACTTTGTTTGCAACTTCAAGTATTAATGTGTGAATATCTATTAAC